AGGGATCTCCAAAGTCCTGGATCTTGGTCCTGGTCCAGGAGACCACTAGACCTAAGGGCTTTGCTTCATTGCTAAATGCATCTAGAGCCACCACTAAGGTTTCCAAAGATCAGTAACCATTATATTGCCCAGAGTTGCTCCACAATGGCTTTGAACAGTAGCTCTGCCCAGTATCCAGTCCATGCAAGTGTTAAAAAGTGTTGGTGCAAGGATACAGCCTTGCCTCACTCCTTAACTAACAGGAAAGAAGCTTGGCAGACCCCCACCACACGTTACAGCACTTTTAGTACTGGTATACAAACTTGCTATTAGTCCAATAATGCTTGTTGGAATTCCTCTCAATCTCATGATCTCCCAGAGTGATTCCCGATGCACTGTAACGAACCCCTTCTTGAGGTCGATGTATGCTGCAAGCAGCCCAAGCCCGAACACACAGCGGCACTCTACAATGACTCAAAGCGCCAGGATATAGTCTAGTGTGGACTTACCAGGAGTGAATCCAGATTGCTCCGGCCTCTTGTGCCTTAGCAGGTGGTCTCTGATAAGCCTCAGAAGGATGAGGGCGAAAACCTTGCCTGGTATACTGAGCAGAGTGATGCATCGGTGATTGCTGCAGTCCCATCGGTCCCCCTTCCCCTTCCAGGGGGAACTTTACCAGACTGTCAGATGGCAGCCAGAACAGCATGCAACCCCGCACCATAAGTCCATCACCAGCCTTTAACAGTTCATCTGGGATGCCGCAGATACCTGCTGCTTTACCACTCAGCTTGGAGATTGCCCCCCTAACTTTAGCTAAGGAGGGTGGCTCCTCACTGATGGGTAGGTGTGGCAACGGAATCTTAGCACTATCCGCATCCAAGTTAACTGTTGGTGAATCAACTTGGTACACCTGCTCAAAATACTCAGCCCAACGCTCCCACACCGCAACAGGATCCGATCTGGCCACTGGCTGAGCGGATTACAGTCAGCTGTGAAGAGGACTTGGAGTTGAGCTTTCTCAGGGCTTGGTATGCCTGGGCGAAGGTCATGTACTAGGAAATGGCCTTGGACCTCCTCTGCAAGACTCCTAATAAACCATTCCTTGAGTTCCGCGCACCTGAGAACAGTGCAAATCCCAATCGCCTGTCAGACAAACTGCATGACTAGCATCTGTGGCTTCCAGTATCTCCTTTGATATAAAATTTTGTATTGCTCAAAGGCGTTCATCAATCGATTCTTGAGCTGCATTAAGCATTTCGTGCTTGAATGTGTCCCACAGAAGTACAGGGTCCATCAGATTGTCGAGCGCTGTGAAACGAACTGAAATTGCCTCAGTAAACCACTGGACACACTCCCGCTCCCTCTGCCTGTACAAATGAAACACAACGGTGGTCATTGGACTGCCGGGGAGTTTTGAAGTGGATCCGTAGGGTAGCCACAACCAATCTATAGTCAGTACCACAGAACTCGGCACTCCTATACATCCTGCAGTTCTGGAGGATCCTCCAATGAGTACTAACGAGTGCTAGTACCAGGAGCCAGAAATCTTCAATTTCTGGGACCTTACAAAATACCAGAAAATGAGGCTATTCTCGCTGCCCGCATCAGCTCTTGAACCATGAGGACCGACAGACATCTCATAGCTAGCTCAATTATAGCTAGATACTGCACTGAAGTTACCCAAAACAATACGAATATCTCGCTGATGACAATTACATCGATAGGAGCGTACCCAGCAATAAGAGACATGAAGCCAAATGCAAGCCTAAGTCTCAATACCATTATACGCTCAACAACTGGAGTAACCTCTACTACCGAGGGCATTAATCTGCTGGAGATGGCTATGGCTACTCCCTGAAGATGGTGACCATCACTGCGGCCTAACCAGGAACATGTGTAACCACCTACATTAATCATGCTACTGCCAGGTCTCTTCACCTCCCAAGAGAGCAGCCACCTCAACTCTCAGCCTCCCCAGTTCTCTCGATAGTAGTGGCAACCGATCATCCTGACGCAAATGGACGTCAATGACCATTGGGGGGGTACATGTGGTGGCCAATCAGATTACCCTCCCCGTGCCACCATAGAAGCCCCGCCTCTGAAGAGAGAGTGAGTAGGGAAGTGGGTAAAATATTACCTGCAGGCTTTCTGGAAACATTAGCAAGGTGTGATAAAATAAAGGCAAGTCCTTGCGATAAAATACGATGGCAGTAACTCGGGTTGTCAACCGTCCTTTAAAATACGGAATCGTTCCATATTTAAGTAAATGATGCACCCTTTAGTGAACTTTGTTCCATATTTCTGACAATAAAAGAGCAAATTTTATAATGAAACTTTAATTTTGAAAATTACTGTATTTCAATAAAATTATGAGTTAGTTCTCATAAATAGGTCTCTTAGCGTTTGGGGTTAGTAAAACTAAACTACTTTTCTTATGAAAAGATATTAACTTTGAAAAATTTACAGTTAACCTAAAACAGTATAATATATACAGGGTCGGAAATGGTGGAAGGTGCTGGGAGAATTGACCTCCATATTTTGCCTTGTTTTCTGTTAGTACAGGAGCCAAGAGGTATTTTGGGGTCGAGAGGGCCCCTAAATCACTCACTTGATTTTTGTAGCGAGGGTGGACGTGCTGAAACCCGGCAGTAATGGAGCTATTCAGTGTTTTGTCTGAGAAATCAGCACCCTCGGATGAATATTAAAAAAAATGGTAGGGAAAACTAGAATAGCAATAACTTGAACTAAACATATAGTCACGTATGGCCACTCATTTTGTAGTTTAGGAAGTAAGCTACAAGATGAATGTAAGCATTACTCAAACCAAAGGTCAAGGTCACCAGAGGTCAAACAATGGTGAAATTTAACACCAGTCTCAAATATAGGGCCTTTTGACAGGCCAGATACTAAGAAAGTTTTTAAAACTAGTATGAACCTGTACTGAAATACACCAACCCTTTCAGGTCTTGATATTTCATGTCATAAAAATGCTTTAACGGGTCATTGTTTTCAGCTTCCATCACACGATCTTCGACTGAAATTATATGTTCTGGCCATGTTTTTATCTAGTTTGCTATTGGTAATGATGCAAATGCCCATTTAGTACATAATATATTTGGCAGGGGTGTAACTAATGGTAGGGGTGGGGCAGGAAGTATATGCCCCCCCGGGCGTTACGAAAAATGTGTATTTTATGCATTTGCCAAAAATTTGCAAAATACTGTACTCCAAATGATCTATTACACCCCATCACCAAAAAAGAACTAGCCATGCCTCTGTTTAGAAGGGGACTGCAACACATTTTTGTTTAAAATTGTTATAGTAGGCTTAAACGCCGATGGGGCCATCTCTGCGCATCGGTATGAAAACATGAAATTTATTGGACGGTATTATATTTCTAACCACCACTTTTCCCGCGTTTCCTTCACAGGGGCACTAAATGTAGTCATGATGGGAAGGGGTAGGGGGGATATAAGGGGGTAGAGCAATTGAGTGAACTGCAGTCTATCTGTGACAAGGGAAGAAACGGGGATATTGTTCAAGGAAAACAGAGGAGGCTGCTGGAGAAATGGGAGAAGAATCCAGAGGGTAAGAAAGGGGGACTGGGGAAGGTGGTGAAACATCAGGAAAAATGTCTGGAGAGAAGGACACTGTTGTGATAGAAATGATTCGTGTGAGTATTCAAGTGGGAGTGGTAGAGAGGGTGGGGTATGTTGAGGATGGAACGAACTTGAGGATAGATATCTGCAAATACTTCAAATGTAGATGGAGTAGGAACAGAGGGATTGGGGGTGGATCATCTTTAGGAAGTTTTGGATGTCTTCAAGGGTTTTTGAAGGGGAGTTGGGTGAAGAGAACTAAGAAACAAAGGTTCTCTTATGAGGAGATGGATATCTGAGGAACAGAAGAGGAGGAATGTGTAGGAGAGGATGTAGTAGGGGAGGGTGGAGTGGAACGTTTAGGTTGCCTGGTACAACAAATAAAGTGAGGATGATGGGTAGGTATCGTGGAAGTGGTAGAGATTGGAATATCTGGATTTAGAATGGAAAATGAATAAGACTGGGGTATAGGGCGAGTAGACGTAGGATGGTTTAGGGTATAGGTAAGATATACTGGGGGAGATGGACTTAAGGCGAGCGGCCATCAGGCAGTACTCGATCTTTTGGATGGGGCCTGTCTGTCCATGTAACTACTCTTTGTATGAAGCAAACCAAAACATCTTAAACTTTAGTTCCGAGATTTTCATGATGCTTTTACAATTAAATGTCAAATTAGATCATTCAAATTTCCGGGGATTGACATTTCCAATTCCGTTTGTTTTATGCAGTTACTGCATGTTTTTTCCAAAAGGTCTGATGTGCCCATACCATGTCTTTTTAGTTCTCAAAAATCTGCATTAAATCCCGTGGAGCAAAATGTTAGCAAACGGCATCTTTCTAGCCTTCTTGCATCACTTGCATCAGCTTATCAAGATTTTTTCAGACTTTGTGTAGTTCGTAAGGGCTATATTTTAATATTGTTGGCAGACTAGATGTTTCAATCTCCCCAAACTTTTTTTTTCTTCTTCTTCCATACTCACTTTGTAGACAAAAAAAAGGTTTTAGAAATTGAAGACACAGATAAACCAAAAAAAAAAATATATTCAGTCAAGACTTAACAATGTACAGTACAGTACCATTACATTTACAAATAAAATTTCTTATTACATTCAATACGTCTTGATATAAAGATAAGCATACTTAATTTCACATACCTTCCTCTCATTCCAGTTAAGGTATGATACACTAACATTCAGTACAGGTATAATTAATGAAACAAATGATACCCATTCACACATTCCACAATGTGATCTAAATTTATTTTATATTCTTCCTAGAATAATTCAACACATTCCTAGCACACCATTAAATCACAAAGCCTATATATTCTATTCATCATCATCATCATCGTCGTCATCATCCTCTTCATCATCATCATCATCGTCATCATCCTCTTCCTCTTCACCTTCAGCATCATCACCTTCCTCATCTGCCTCCTCTTCTCCCTCTTCATCATCATCATCATCCTCATCCTCATCCTCTTCTACTGGTGCTACTTCCTTCTTTGCCTGACGTAAAATGAATATATAAGAGTGATATAGCTGGTTCTCCTTAATTTCTGGGTATTAAATATACATTTGTATACCAAATAGCAAATACTCAGGATCCTTAAATCTTATTTTCAGTTTTTCAGCAAATTTTATACTGCTTTCATGAAATTCATAAAATCACAATGTGAAAAAAAAAAAAAAAAAATCAAGCAGGTTTACAAACCAGTAAGACTTTACAGTTTGTTACTTCAGGGTCAACAGAAGACAAGGTAAATACTGCATGACTTACCTTTTTCTTTGGGGAGGCATCTTCCTTTGTTGCTTCTGCATCATCATCTAAACTTCTTTTGGTTCTGAGGAAATGGCATTTTACATGTTATGACAAATATATTTAGAATGTTAATTTATAAAATCATTCTTATTTTATTCACCTTTGAAGAGATCTCTTCAAATGAGGGAAATATAGGCAGAAGAAAAAAAAAGCAACACTTCCATCATCACTTACTTGAATTTGTATTGTACTTTTAGTGATGTTCCGTCGCTGCATTTCATTTCAGACAACTTCTCCTTGACATCATTGGCTGCTTTTTCTGACCCAAATGACACTGTGAAGACCCTATCAAAAAATTGTAATGTTACATAAAAGTAATAACCATATACACACTTGACATTTGAAAAGTTGAATGCACTTTCTACATTCAAGTATAGTTTTTCCCTCATTCAACTAATTTCCATACAAATTATGATCTATAAACATTTAATCATATCAAAAATTAGGTTCTCTAATACACAGTTTCCTATACATCTATACATAAACATGTATTAAATGTCATCCTCACACACACACACTCTGGGGGGGTGGAGGTGGGGGATTAACCGAAGGACACCAGGAGGGAATTTAAATTTATTAATTTATCCTACCCAAATATCTCCATATTACATACTTATGGGGATTGTTTTTAAATTTCTCTAAGGATGAAACATGAAATATGATCCAATGAAAGAAAATAAAATATTCTAAATGAATGGCACATCATTGTTATCCATTTGTATACATTTTTTTATTTCTTTCTTTCTTTCTTTTTCTTTCTTTTTACGCTTCCTAGATTTTTGAGATTCAGAGAAAATGAAGGTTGGTCTCACATGTGAAATTTTATACGCTCTGAAAATTCTCATTTTTATCATATTTGATCATTACGTCACAAGTGCCGATTTTCTAAGGTAAGGTAAAAAATCGTATTTCTGTGGACATCAAAAATGGCTACCACCTTAAAAATATCTGGTGGCCATAAAAATTTCAGGGGAGACTCAGAGGCCTTAAACTCTTTGGAAATGCATTTGCCTCAATTTCAGCAAGATGGAAGATTTTGGCCGAAAAATGACCAAACAATCCCCTTAATTACAAGGCTTACCAATCTCACGTTTCTCCTTTTCCATGAATCTTTAAAAATATTTCTATTAGTTAGTGCTGCCATTACAATTACTTTCTAGGATGCATAACAGCTTATTGTCATTGCTGCTTTAAGTCCTGCAAATGCTGTTTTTATTACTGTTAAAGCTTTTAATTTGTTTTTGTTAGTATTAATGCAATGAGGTAAACAGGTGAGGTCAGGTAGGCCTCTTCATTGATTCCTTGGTGACTAGGCACTCATAAAACCATCTATGCTTAAATAAAATTGACATACACTACAGTGGAAAGCGCATATATTTGGCATTAAGGGATCATTGTACTTAGGACAGTCACATACTATTATCTAACCGCTACAAACCAGATGATGTGACTATCATGTCTAAAAATTTGGCTCTGAGGGGCAGTTGACATGAAAATGCTATCATGGGAAAATCTGGCTGTGAGCTCGGATGATGTGTACTTGTCCTCATGAGCATTTGGGTTTTAGGCCATGATGACAGGAATGACTTGCCATGAGTGCACAAAGCTCTTGGGAGTAGATTATAATCATTTAACAATTAGGAAGGAGCTTTTGCATTATTTCCACTGATAAACAAATGTGGAATGTACTGTCCATGTTCTGAATCCTATTCCTGACTGCAGTGACCTGCAGCACAGGTTGTATTATAAAAAAAAAAGAAAAACTTATTTTCATTGTACTGGGTTATATACTACCTAGAGAGAGGCTATGGAGTGTGAAAGGAAAACAGTATTACCATCTGGATAAAGCAAATCAAATGCAAATATAAACAGGAAAATGGCAAAAAAGCTAAAAACACTTGTGCAGAAATATATATATTTTTTCTTATATATATCTATATCTATCTATATATATAAAATATTTATATATTTTTTATATATATAAAATAGGGAGGCATAGTCTTGTCACAGCACAGAAGTATTCTTGCACCTGGCCTGGAAGCTGGACATCACAGTGGCCACTCAAAGTAAGCCTAATACCCATATTTTGGGACATGATGGCAGTGAAGCAACCAAATCCAATGGGTTAATGGTAAGATAGGAGTCCTCTATCTATGACCCTCTACCCTATCCTAGGACACCAAAGAAAGTGGTGTTCTGATGGCCTATTCCTAAGTGGCAATTATAACTGATGGGTAAATGCAAATGTATATACTAATACACATATACACATGTATGCATTCACACAAATGTGCAAGTAATGTACACCTATCACAAGCACACAAGTATTTGTATTAACCCATTGGCGCCGGGTGTCGCGTACGTACGTGCCATGGCTGTTGTGGACCAAACGCCGGGGGCATCATGCCATGCCCATTCCCACGCTACTGGCTCGTCGGAAGGAGGTTGTTTTTCTCCACTAGAAGCGGCTTCATTTATATGGTAAAGATTTTAGGCAATGGCACCTTAAGTGAAGGCAAACCTTCAAAATTTTAATATTTTTATAAATTATAGCAAAATAAAAGATTTTAGGTGCTATATGTCACTCGCAAACTGCGGATCGAGCCGGGCGCAAACGGGATACGTAAACTTGACAAAATTTTTACCCGTCGCTGATGGGTTAATTCATGCACATTCATGCAGATGTACACCTGTGGGGCTATATAGACAGAGTTGTCAAAAAAAAAAAAAAATGTCTATAGTCTCACATATCTTCCAAAAGTTTCACTGACCTGTGGAATGAAATTTCATTTGCATTCTTTCCGATCTCCATAAGCTGTTTGGCCTCCTTAGCATCAAATTCGCCCATTTGCTTTCTAACGAACAGGCTTTTAGGGTCCTACAAAGGTGAAAATAAATTACATTTATCTATTCTCAAATATATGACATTTTAATCAGTAAAATTCAATCAAAACAAAAGTTAGAAGTCTGTTTTTCTTATCAAAATAAAGGAAATGAAGAGGTAATTACTAAGAGATCTAACTTTATCCAAAGTGTATACTATAAACTGTGTACATCAAAAATCAAATTTATGTCATTAAAGATTCATCATTTAACTTACTATCTCTGGTGCCTCAAGTTTTGGTTCATTCCTAAAACAAGTCAGAATAAAAACAAAATGAGACATTGGAAAATAATTAATTATTCACTCATGAAATATATACAAATATGGGACAGATTTAAAATTTCAAAAAGCAGCCTTTTTTGCTTACCTTGAAAAACAATAATCTACCTTACAGGTATTTCCACTTTTGAACTTCATTTTATTTAAAGCTTCTTTAGTTTGGTTAGCAGCTTCTTCTGTGTGGCAGTAAATATATAAACCTCTGGAAAAAAAATATATATATATATAAATGTATATACATACATCTTGTGGTTCACAACTACATTATATATATTTCATCCATTCACAGACCAGTAGGGTTTTTTTTTTATGGGAAGGGGGGGGGGGGGGGCATTAAGGCCTGAGATCCATTTCCTTTTTTTTTTTTTTTTTTTTTAATGCTCAGTGTACCATCGAGATCTTTGACTGACATTCCCCTCTGAATCCTAACATTGGTCTCCCTTTCCTTATCCCTTCAAGAAGCTTAACCCTTTAATTTGGATGGAGGGCTGGGTGACATGCTGTCATGGAAAAATTTGGCTGACGGGAACATGCTGTCACAAGTATTTCAGCTGAAAGCTGAGGTGACAAGATTGACTCACTTTTAGTGTGTAAAGCCCATGGAAAGATTAAACTTGGTGGGTATTTAGGAAGGGGATCTTGCATTACTGTTATTAGTAAAAGAGTTTCAATTGTACAATCTAAAAGCCATACAAGTCCTATCACACTCACACTTACACTATAAATTTTCTGTTTCTGCCTAAATTTGGGGCTTTCCGCAAGTATCGCACACAATACAATTATATTGAGTAAGTTAATGGAAACAAGTCAATATTCTAGAAAATTACTATATATAATATTCACCATTATATTTCATTAAAATAATGTGCTATGTAAGTATTTGTATGGGCTGGGCCTACAAGTAACACATCCCAGGAGTCGCCACTGAAGTAAGCCTAATGCCCTGATTTTAGGCCACATGATGGCAGCATTATTTAAATCTATTTCATTAACGCATCCTTATTTTTCACAAGCCCAAAATATCTGGTGTTTTCAGGTTTTCCCCTTTTTCTTTGATTCTATTGCAAGACATATGTATAACACTGTAGTTGGATATCAAATAAAAATAGTAATAGTGCCAGAGCTTTCCTGTTCAGATAGGAAAATAAGACCATGTGTTGATTTATCCACACTTGAAAAAGTGGAGCCAAGCAACATATCAGTGCCACCATGGGACTAAAAAAAATCACCCACAAAGAAGTGATATTCTCAAATTTTTCCAAGAGAACCATTATGGTAGTTAAGAGGTATTATGAAAACCACACCTTACTCAATTCACCAACATCAAAATTAAATCAAACAAACCTTGCATCCCATTTGCCATAAAATTTAGGTCTAGTAATTCTCAGAAATAATATACATTTCTAGTAAAGTTAAGTGTCCAAATATATTACTAATATATCTCTATATAATCCAATAAAATGTAAAAATGAAAAAAATTGCTTACCTGCAAAATGTGTACTCTGATTTCTTTCCCATATCTAGTAACTTTTCTGTGGTTTCTTTGTTAAATGCTGGTGCTCTTATGTACAGACCACAAGGATCACATTCCTGTCAGGCAAAAACAAAAATAATGCTTAAATTTGAAATCATTTTAACACATCCAAAAGGTTTTGTAATTACTTATACTCACAATAAGAATTTGTAAGCCATACTTCCAAATGTCTCAAAAAAAAAAATAATAATAAAAAATACTCACTGGCTTAGGTCTGTGATCCATACCACCCCTGCCCCCTCTGAAACCCCCTCTGCATGCCCACCCCTGCCTTCACTGAACCACCCCTGCCTCCTCTGAAGCCACCCCTGCCTCCTCTGAAGCCTCCCCTGCCTCCTCTGAAGCTCTCTTTGCCTTCTGCGAAGCCACCCCTGCCCCCACGGAAGCCACCTCTGCCCCACGGAAGCCTCCTCTGCCTCCACGGAAGCCACCTCTAGGACTGCTATCAACCTTTGCCTGGAATAAATAAACAGATCATGATAGCCTTCAATTACAATTATTTATTTATTTATATATATATATATATATATATATATATATATATATATATATATATATACGTCATTTCACGGGATTTTTAGTGAAAATTGGCTCTGTCGCCCTGTCCTTAGAGTTAAACACCTCTTGAAAAGACTCATGAGGCATGGCCCAATGTCACCCCGTAGGGAACGGGAAGCGCGTGATACATGTCAGACTGGAGAGAACGATCATTTTCTTTCTGACTAGTATTTTACATTGTATAACCCTATTAGAGCATCAATAAAGGTAACTAATAGATAATTATATCATACATATGTAAAATGTAAAAAAAATTAAAAGGGAAAAGATTGTGATGTTTGGGTCCTTTACATTTTTAAGCACTGCATTCGCATTTTCAGTCCAATTTTGATATATGGCTCATTTTGCAGCTGATTAGTATATCTATTACATGCTGCAATAAGGATTTGCAATATTTTCATGTGCATCTTATAAGGTGACATTTTCAAAAATCCCTTCATAAGGTGTTGAAATAGTCGCCTTCGTAAAATATTCACAAAAGAAAAAAGAAAAAAAATCAACTAAAATTGGCTTCCGCATATTATAATAGAAAGATTGATCTATCTATAAATGAAATCAGAGTGGCTGTATTATTTTTTTGAGATTTTAAACATTTTTTTAAATGGTCAATGTAGGCCTATAAACACCCAAAATTACTGCTACCCTGCTACACTATATGAAAGATTATGAGAAACCGTTACGTGCTGGCAATGTCTGCAAGACTTAGGAATCCAGGTAGATGATAGAGGATTATGGTGTAGGAAGACTAATCTCATACCTTGTTTTGTTAATACCAAAATTATGAAAAGATGAGGGAAAACTAATAATGTCGCTATCTCAGAACACCTTAAGTGGACGGGCAAATCCTTACGGGCGCACTTTATGTCCAATATTAACATATTATAGCTCATTTTGTAGAAAAATAGCTGCTCTAACACAAATTTAACATGGCATATTATGTGAAGTGAAAATAATTAACCGTTTCTTTATTTCATGTTAACCCACCACTGAGGTATGTAAACTTTCTCAAATGCGCTGAACGTTTGTTTAGAAGTGACAACATCAGCGTTGATGACATACACAGCAAAGATTGCTTGACATGGAACTACTGTCGATAGTGCAACTTCAGGTTTCATCTTTTACTATTGTACTATCATTTGTAAATACAATACACAGATAAAATGCCATTATTGTTTGAGTAACAATTAACTTAACTTTATTAATATATTAAAAAGATCTTAGGAAACTTGGGAAACTCATTTTTATTGTCAAGTTACTTGGTAATTGTCACCGATAGCGATGCACACTCCAAGAGACTTAAGTAAAAAAAATTGATCTTTTTCTGCATGAAATCCAATGATTACATGAATTCTCAGCACTGTTTCTTATGCGAATGAATTGTTCAAGTACCATTTCTCCATTGACAATCTTGCTTTATTAGTTCTGTTAGTAGGGGAAGGCATGGATTATATCAGGGAAATGGGGTAAAACAGGCTTAAATTAGATTAATAACTATCAAAAATTTGCAAAACTAGCACAAGAAACAATTAAAATCGGCCAATTAAAATCTAAGATTTAAGAACTATGGGAACCCAACCCACCTTTCAACAAAACTATACAGGATTTCACACATTCCAACCCCCCCCCCCCCCCAAGATGCACTGGCGATTGTAGTGTATGGCTGCATACATCCCAACTCTAAGGATGTCATCTCCATAAATCTCAGCCAACACAAAACAAGCCGCCAGAGACTAAGTCCCCGCCCTGTGCCACATGCACTTACATCCTGCAGACATGTATATACTTTTTTTTTTTTTTTTTTTTTCCCCACCTGCGACTAAGTCCAGCAGGCTTTCTTATTCACCTTACATCTGTTCACTGCAGACGAATCTTTCCATGAGCAAAAAATCCATATTCTCGGTTGAGCCTGTCTACTGGGTCTACATCCCCCTACAACCATGAAACCAGCTTAACATAATCTAAGCTGCTGTGACTTGGCTCCACCCCAAAACACCCCCCGGGACACATTTTCTTCACCTCGGCATGTACAGCAAGATAGAGCTGCATTCACACCATAAAATAAACCAAATACCTTTATATCTGGAAACATCAAACTTTCATGCCTTCTTTCTACCGTCTGGAATGCTTCGATTTTAATAACTTCTTTTTGGCAATTGGAGCTCTTGATGGGCCCAGATACTAAACTGGGATAGTTACAGAAATCTATTTTAAATTCTTTATCACTGTATAGTCTTAAGATTAACCCAGAATTAACACAACACTGGAAATGCAACATTTCTCACCGGTGTTCAACCTCGAAATGAGCGTGCCAGTGAGCTGTCAACCTGGTGGCTGGTGAAAGGAAGGGTGAAACACCCGATGCACAGGATTCTAAATAAGGGTATAGATAAATCTTAAAATACACAAATGACGTATAACAACATTAATAAAAGACTTTAAAAGCATAAATGTGTAACAGGAGACACTGATAATTAGCCAAGTATTGTTTTGCCAAGCGCATAGTAACACATAGCAGTAATGAGTTACGCGGTCAGTGTTGTGTTATTCTAGACCAGGTAAACAAGTTGCAATTTAAATTATGTTCTATCCTACTATTTCTTCAGCTCTATAAGATGGCATTGTCTATTTCCCTCTATCTACGCGCGTCAGTCTCTTCAACTTATACCAGTTACTTTAATTTAATCATGAGTTATTACATTAGTATTGTGCAACTGGAAAATTTAGTGTGTAACAATCAGAAATTGAGTAAAAAGAAAAAGAAAAGAAAAAAAAAAAAAAAAAAGATATGGAATGGTTACCTTGACGTAAACTGAGACACTTTTTATTTATGGCAAAAGGTGCACAAATCGAAAATAAAGGAGTAACACAACAAAGAGAGAAGATAGACCCATCTTTTACAAAGTCCCTCGCCATGCTAACATCATGAATGTAAACAAAAGTATGACCAATTAACTCATTCTTGCGCTCTGATAAGAAGTTCATGTATTACTATGCCGTTGTCAAAACGATATTTGGCTAATTATCAGTGTCTGCTGCTCCACAAATATGCTTTTGAAGGCCTTTGTTAAAGTTGTTAAACCTCATTTCCATGTTTCAAGATTTATTAGACAGTGATTTAAGGAAATCAATCTGAAGCACCTTCTGCGCATGCACATTTTCTGCCGCCAGGTTTGACAGGACAATTCCCAGGCAGTTGGTGACAGGAGATCGGCGAGAAATGTTTCGTTTTCGGTGTTACATCAATTCTAGGTTGTTCTTAAGACTATACAGTGGAAACGAAAGAAGAAAAAGACCTTAATAACTACCGCAGTTAGATTTCTGAGGCCATCAAGTGCCCCAAGTAAAAAAAAAAAAAAAGCGATCCACAAAAGACCGACCGTAAGCGAAAGAAAATTAACAGTTCGGTCTTTTGATATATAAAGGTATTTGGTTTAATGTTTATGGTATGGATGTAGCTCTATCTTGCCGTATTTACCGAGGTGAAAAGAATGCATCGTGAGGGTGTTGGGGGCTTGCCCCCCCATCAACCCTCCCCTCGGGCAGTAACGTCTAGTCACGGCACCTTAAATTGTTAGGTTAGGTTGGGTTATGGGTAAGGATGTTTTGGGAGGTTTGGAAAGTGTGAAATTCCGTAGATTTTGCTGAAATATTTGTTGGCTTCCCATAGAGTTTTTAAAACTCTGGCATGTCGGTGTGTAGACTTTCAAAGGTGGCAGACATGTCCGTAGAGTTTCATTAGCTGATTTTTACCATTTTTTGGGCTAGTTTTACACATTTCTGTTCACTATTCTTATTCGAGCCTGTTTTACCCCATAACTTCCCTGATATACTTCATGCCCTCCCCTGCTAATGGGACTTAACACATCAAGATTGTCTGCTGTGATTGCAACCGAAATGATCATCAGATTCGTTCTTGTCACACGAGAATAAATCTGATATAAATATTGTCTGGAAAGTCCCGACTGTCATTCCAGTGAAGTTAAACAAACACACTTTAATGGGTTTTTTTTTTACTGGTTTTCCTGTTATGCTGTGTAAGTTATGCAAAATCTTCCCAGAAATACAGTGCAATGCCTAGGCTCATACGCCCAATATTTTGATATCAGGAAGTACTGGTTGTCACTCATCAAGCAGTCAGATGTGATGGAGAACAACAACATTACAGCGCTAAACATCGAAGGAATATACCATTCTAAAAACAATTGTTTCAAAAGTCAGAGGCGGAATGAAACTGGAAATTTATTGAAATTTTAATCTTGAATATGTAGGCCATGTCACAGTCCAAAACTGCCTAAATTACTGATGCAAACAGGTATTCAGCATACTCTCAGCAATCTGACTAAGGTTTACAAATAATCTTAGAGGGAAAACTTGTAATTTTGCAAAACGACTGACAAAATTTTGCGGTTGGAGAACTGCAATGTGAACCAAAGGGGACTCCATTTGCAATCTTTACTTGACAATGATATGTAATTCTGGCATGAGGTTGCCTGTGACTGTAACCACCCAACCTGGAACTTGATATCCTCACCTAAAAACACAAGTTTATCTATTTATCACTGCAATATTCTACATATTCAATTCAGTTATAAAGCTTTCACTGTAACCTATACGATGCTGCTCAGGGAGGAACCCAAGTTAACATCTATACAACACATTGAGAAATGTTCTTTGCAATTTACCTTTACGCAAA